CGCCAGGTTTCAAGCGATGCACACACCTTTTGTGCCTTGCTCAACTTCCCATCCCGCATAAGCAATTTCGTAAACTGCTCCAGCAACGAATCATATCTCTCGCGGAAATTCTCCGTCTTGGGGAGACTCTCGGGAGCCGGAAACTTCAGTCCGGGGTGCAGCTCCGCGACCTCCTGGTTAACCTGGTTGATCATATTGGCGACAACGGCCGCCGAGGGATCGGCCACGTCCTGACCCTGTAGGTCAGGCTGGTAGCGGCGTGTGAAGGTCGAGAAGGACCGGTTGCCAGACGATCGCTTCAGCTGGTCTTGCATGACCTTGGGCATGTGCTTTAGGGCGTCTTTATCGCGCTGCAGGATCTACCCCAACAGGAAAGTCAGCACTCCGCGACGTAGTGTGTCGATAAAAAGAAGAAACCTACCTCAGCGACAGGAGTCCCCTGCTCCAACTCCGGGCTTGCAGCAGCCTCGTACTTCCCACCGTGCAGGATCTTGTCCATTTGCGCGGCCTCCTCGCTGACGTGAGGCAACGGATCCTCCGTAGGCCCTTTTAACCCATCCAATTCGTCCTTCTTCTCTGATTTTGACGAGTTCCATCGTCTTTGTGCTTGTACGGTCGGTGCGGCATGAGGCCGGCTGATACTGAAACGCGAGCTGACAGCGGACGAGGTGGATGGGCGAAAGGCAGGCAAGGCCTTGCCCACTGTGAAAAGATTGATACGGGGCGGCATGTTGATTCTCTTCGATGCCTGAATCGACAGACCGTATTTGGAGGAAGTGTGTTCAATTGTCCTCCTCCGTCCTAGGCTTCGTCGGAGCCGCGAAGAACGATTTTCCTCTCCACAGTTGCTTAGTCATACACGCCAAGACTCTCCGATTCGAGCATGAAGTCATTCGATAATTTCAGATGAGATGGGCTACAGTTCTACTAGAGTGTTTGCGGCCAGTGTTTACTAGAACACAGTTTAGGATGTAGCTAGTTACAATAAAACAGTGGCATCCGGGCCAGACCTGCTATTTTGCTATCCCAAGTATACCACATTGAGAACGTCGAAGAAAGAAAATACAAATACAGGGGCCAAGTAATCAGAACCCACTATTGTGCGTCTGTACAGCAAATACAGAAACCCCCGACCAGCAGTATTTACTCAGTTAGTGCGATAGGAAAAGGAGCAGTTTAGCACAAAGTCAGAGAGCGCAGGGGTTAAGTAAAAATCAAGATAATGTCAGAAGCAAGGACATCAATACCGAATTCCTGGCCTGAAAGCTCGGCAGAGGGGACTGGTCGTTCAATTGGCAACAAGAGCATCGCCAATGGGATCATCTGGGTACACGTAGAACGCTAGCGCTAGGATCAGATACCTATGGCGCGGAAAGTTAGAACATGGCTCATTGATCGAGAGGAGAGCGGACAAACTTACATTCCCAAGCAAAGCCCACCCTCGAGATAATTCGACTTCCCATCCTGAATGAGGAAGGTCACAACCAAGCTGGAGACGAAGAAGGCGACAGTCTCAAAGATGTGGAAGTTGAGAGTCATCTCAACGTTCAGGATCCAGCCCATGATGACAAGGAACGGTGTCACGAACAATGCGATTTGCAAGCTGCTGCCGATGGCTACGCCGATAGCCAGATCCATCTTCCCTTTCCAGGCGACGACGACGGCGGTCACATGCTCCGCAGCATTTCCAACAATGGGAATCAGGATAAGACCGATGAAGGTCCGGCTCATGCCCGTCTTCTCCACAATGCTGTCGATGCTTCCAACCAGGTAGTCGGCACAGACGGCGACAAGAACTGTGACAATAACCAGAGTAATGGTGGCGGCCAATGGGCTCAGAATATGCTCGTCCTCTTCATGGTCCGCCTGATTCTCTGCATCGGGTCCCAGCCCGTCCGGAACCTCCTCAAACAGCTGTGTATGCGACCTGAGCTGGAAGTACAGGTACATGACGTATAAAACCAGGAGGATGATGGCGGTACCGTGAGAAAGAATCAGGATATTATTATCCGTCGTAGCTTTGGAGTGGGATGGTGACAGAGAGGCGTAGAGAGTGGCTGGGATGATCAACGAAGCAGACGCAACCATCATCATGGACGACATGGTGGACGCGCCAGTACTGTTGAATGTCTGCTCGGAAAACCGGAGACCGCCAATGAAGAAACAGCATCCGAGCACAAGGAGGATGTTCGACAGGATACTACCCAGCATACTTGCCTGGACGACACGAATCTGGTTTTCCTTCAAAGCGATGATGCTGACCTACCATTGTCCTCAAAGTCAGCTATAGTCGAGCACAAAACGATCCGAACGGATAAACCCACAATTAGTTCAACCGCATTCCCAAAAGTAGCATTCAGCAGTCCACCCAACGCCTGTCCCATAGTAGCCGCCAGTTCCTCAGTCGCAAAGCTCAGCAGAGACGCCAATGGGATGATCGCGAGGAAGTTCAAAGAGAAGACAACCGTGCTGTCCCAGCCAAGCGCACCGGAGATGATACCTAGAGGAACAAACACGAGCAGCACGTTGACGTAGTCCCGCACGAGGGTGTCCCATGTCAAGTGCAAGACCTGCGCAGGGATGTTCAGCCAGCGTCGTGCACGTTTGTGGCGCCGATGCTGGCTAAGGCCTGAGTTGATGCGGGGAATATCATTGATCAGAGCATCGCGCTCACTGGGCTCTCCAACCCCGTTTGGAGAAGAAGAGAAGCCGGTCATACTGCGTCTTTTGGGGCCCCACGAGTACCTTCGGAAGGCTGAACGGAAACTCCTCGATGCTGTGCCAGATTCGACAGATCCGATTAGCTAAATTTCTTGAGAGTTTCGTCTCACTATTCTCCGCAAGAAATGATTGTTCAAGAGTTAAAGAAAGACCGCTTGATAAGGCGGGAGAGGATAAAGAGAGACTTGGAAAATGAAAATAAATTTATGGAATAGAACGGAAGATACTCCGTACGGTAAAAGAGGGAAAATGAAGGAATGAATAATGGAAGGTCATGAGAGAAAAGGAAAAGTGTAATAGTCTTGCGTAGTAGCAGTACCAGTGGTGATGGAGGTGACGATGGTGTGGCACCTACACATTGGGATCAGAACCGTGGCGCGGGAAGCAACCGGGGAACCGCGATAGGACAGGAGGGAAAAAAAGTGGGTTAACCTGAAATATGTAGGATACTAGCCGGTCAGTCTAGGATTGAATCTGATAGTCCCGTTCTAGTCTGGAATCTTGAGACCTGACGAGAGAAAAATCCTGGGACTAGGGGTGAAACTGCAAAAGTCAGTTAGGTAGTCTTAGCTCTTGGTTGGCAAGAGGATTGGCGAACCGAGACAACCGCAGTGGCCTTGTCGCAGAGGGGAATGTCCACTTTTTGCTGAAGAATGAGAAAGGATTAGATTAACGCTCGCGCGAACCAATCGAGATAATCGTGGGCTAGGATTGTTCTGTCAGTCGAGCTTTCAAGCGAAGGATCTGGGGGAGGGCGGAAGCAGAGTGACTGCAGTGAGCAGAGTCCGCAGTGCACAGCCTCAAAGCTGATGCTTTGATCTTCAAAGGAGCAGGAGTTTAAGGTGAGCTTACCTTTGAACGAGGCTAGATACCTGAAGCTAACAGTCTCGGCACAATCACTGCTTGGTTGCCCAGATTGCGCGCAGGATTGGAAATTGGCGCTTCCAGCAATGCCTCTTTATTGATGCAGCTATGTACTAGAGGGGATGACGTTGATCACGACTGACCCGGAAACGTGGGCCTCAATTGTAGAATTACCAAGATGATCTTCAATCAGTATATCAACCAGATACCTCTCTAGACGTATGCAATGATGATGTCGGTGATGATGTTGAAGTGAGCGCCAAAAGTGATGCTTTACAGTGGGGCATCTGCAAAAGCTCCAGCCACTAGCTTAACTCGCATTGCAGTTGGACAAAAAAAGCAGCTAGACTAGTTACAGACTTAAAAGCATTCATTCTTCTCATAGACTACCTTAGATATCTAAAACCAATTGCAAAGACCCCATACATAGAGTTAATCCACCAGAGTCATCTCAAGATGAAACATCTCATATCCATTCATCTTAGAATCACACGGGAGGACGAGTCAGTTCATACTCCATCCACAGATCATCCATGGAAAAACCACGCCAAGCTGCACTGCCACAATTAGACCCCACCACGCAATAGTAAAATCGATCATAGCGCCTGCACTTAGTCGTACCACTGTGGTATGGAGCAACGTGATGAATCCCATTAGCTCAGTCTCGGAAGCGATTAGGATTATATTAAACCATCAGACAGATTAAAAGAGAATCAACAGTTCTGATTATACAGTCTGCCTACACAACGTGATGATAATACTCGGTGGGCTGTATCTGTGGACCGTACGGGCTAGTCAACAAATGTCTGATGATTGATGCACCCCATGCCGAAAGTCCTATCTGCACTCCGCAATGCACCCGGAGAGTATACCTACATCATGTGGCTTCATAACTCACTCATGCTAAGCGCAACCCTTTATCTGCCTACCTATTCTGGTAAAGGGATTGCTTATCATGTGCTGTGCTGTGATCTGGAAACCCGCGCAACTGCCCAAGATTGGTTCGGTTCATCCGTCCGTCACCACCCTTGCAAGTCACTGTATGTTGGCGCTATCAGATGCAGATCCAGCCATGACCTGCTCACCCACTCTCTTCTAGTCTCTACGGAGTGAGAAGCTTTTGGATACAGAGGCTGACATCCGATTCAATGGCCCGAGCCACGTAGAAGCACATCAAATTTTCTCCACATCACCAAGGCTAGTCTGACATGTTCAATTATCACATTAGTTAGTCTATGAATATCCTCAATCATCCGGCTCTCATATAGTCCATAGATACATGTGCGCAGAAAGCGTTCATGCGGTCACTACATAAGTCATAAGATACAACGAATTGCTCCGCAATAAGATTCACGCGTATACTCCCTCTAGACTAGATGTCTAAGCGACATAAACCGCCCGAAGTTGCGGACAAGTTAGGATGGCACAGCACCGAGTCCTAGTACTGTCAGCAAACGCCTCGGCATACTTTCAGTCGATATACTCACCTGCTGCATAGGCAAGGTACCACGTCCGGCTGGCTCCCCCGTCAATCCAACTGTAGTCGAAGTTGGGTTGCGTGAAAAAGTTCCACGAAGCGGCTGGGTCCACCAGTGCGAGATTGGCGTACAGTACGCCCTTCCACCCGCCTACCACGTTCTCGGCTGGCGCTGGGCCGTTGCTTGCAAACATGGCATCCCATTCCTCCTTCACAAACTCCTTGCTGCGAACAAACGCAGAAGACGGGAGGAGGGGTAGCATATGGATCCTATGTCAAAATCAGTAATGAGGTTTCGATATTGCCAATGACAATGAAGGCACAAAAGTTCATACCCCTGAATATACTCCAGATTGTTGCCAAAGTAAGTAGTATGGTCCACCTTGTTTTCGAACAACTGGAAGAAATTGTCAGTTGGAGACTAACCCCACAAGACATACGGTAACAATGCTTGACTTACTATGCCAGTAACTTTGTTGGCAACGAAGTTCGCCGGCTGGTTCTTGTTGTCGCTTTCCATCAAAAAGTAATTCCGGAGGCTTCGGCGCAGGATGCCCAGCATCAAGTTGCCTCGCGCCTCCATACTGGCATCCCCAATAGTCTTTCCCCACATCTTCAGAGCGTACGCAAACATCGCATCTTCCGAAGTTGACTCCTCGTCTTTGCCGTCAAAGGACTCGAAAAGACCCTTTGCCCAAGAATGACCGTGGAACCAGTCGAACCCGCGCGAGAACGGAAAGAGCGGATCATCTCCGGCCGAGTTTCCGGCATCACGGACAAGCATATTGACCCAATCTTTGCTTGTTAGAAGCCACTGAGGATCCATGGATCCTATGATTGCAGCAGCATGGATGAAGTATCCGTAGTGGAAATGATGGTCGTTGTAAAGCGTATTTCCAAAATCAGCGCCCACATCACCAGAGGCATAGCTGGCAGAGGATACCACTCCTTTCCAGACATTGTCGTAGACAAGCGGAAACTGTTGCTTGTTATCGATGAAACGGGCAAAGGAGTTCTTCAACCGCGCAAGGCCCTCAGCCGCCAGAGTGCTGTTACCCCCCAGCTTGTCAACTGTATACACAAGGGTAGCAAACTTGCTCAGAGCCTTGCCGCTGAAATACATGCTATCGAGATCGGTCTGAGCGTCCATATCTTGTTGAAGTTCTGTGGGAGCTGCAGCCAGGATGACCTGCTGGGCTGCGGGCGATATTCTGTCAATGCTGCCTCCCGAAACCGACCATGGGGCAAAGCCCATGGAAATGGGGAGCTCAGGTTCAACCATTGTCCAATACTCCCCAATGACCGCGGTCGCCTGGCCTTTGGTGGTGGTTCTAAGCGTGATACTCGTCGCTCGGCTTTGTGTACTGGCGTCGAACGATTCCATATGATGTGGGAGAGCAAACATCAGCAACGGGGTGTTCTGCGCATCCTTTCCTGCCTTAGCCCACATCAGATTGTACGTTCCAGTACTCTCCGACACTGAGCCCATGACCGCACCCTCGACAGCATAAACACCTGAAGAGTTATCGTAGAACTTCTCGCCAGATGCGCCGGCCGGGTTCTTGGCCACCTGGATCGTGCCTGACCAGCCGGCGGGCCCGCTAATCTCGCTGTTTGACACCAACCGTAGCTCTGGGTCAGCCCCGTCGTCAGGCGTTGCGTAGAGAAGCCATGATGTTCCATCCTCAAGGGATAGGATGTATTTGAATATACCAGCACGTGGCGATCCAGCAGTTACCATTTTGTTGAAGAAGACACCACTCTGGATCATAGGCTGCAAGTTGCTGTAAATGCCAGTCACAAATCCCATGCCCTGCACTACAGGGAAGGTGATGCTCTGGGATGAGCCGGCAGAAGGTCGTAGCACCGCGTTGGCCGAGAAGGGGAGCGGATTTTCAGTGGTGAGTACAGTAGATGCCCCCAGCTCACTTGCTGACAGAATAATGGAACGGATGCCGATCGCATTGATATAATACGATATGGGGCTACCGGGAATTGCTGTATTGACCGGGCCCTGCGCGACTACGTTACTCTCGACATGGGAGATGGCCATGCCATAGCTTTGCGTCGTTCCACTTCCCTTCACCCAAGCAATGCTGTAGGGGTGCGTAAAAGTGTCGTTGGTTTGCGTTCCCAAGAAGAGCCCACAATAGAACTTGTTCGTCTCAACAGGAGTGTCCGTATCGACCTGTATGGATCAGAAAATGCCATCAGAATAACAGCCGTCGGGGGCTTACGATTCCATTTTTAGGTACGGGATGATCGTTTCTCGAGTCAATCGTGTTGGGAATCGGACCACTCGACACTGGAACAAAGACGTCTTGACCGCCTGCCATGGGGGTAGCGGAAGCTACTCATACCTCAGTCAACTAATCCGTTGTGTTGCCGATGGTAAACTCACCAGATACTGTCTCACTGGATGACTGACTCTGTTGAACTGAGCCGCCTGACGTGGTGGAGATTGTCACCTGGGTTTCACCAGCAGACGTAGTTTCACTGGATGACTGACTCTCCTCAACTGAGCCGCCTGACGTGGTGGAAGTTGTCGCCTGGGTTTCACCAGCAGACGTAGTTTCACTGGATGACTGACTCTCCTGAACTGAGCCGCCTGACGTGGTGGAAATTGTCGCCTGGGTTTCACCAGCAGACGTAGTTTCACTGGCTGAAATTGAGTCAGAAATAAAGCTTATGTGCATCTGCAATCTCAGACTAACCTGTTTCCGAAGAGCTAGACGAGTTATTGTCTTGAGATGAATAACCTGGCCTAGTCGAGCCAGTATTCTGACTGACAATCGCGTCTGAGGCTTCTTCGTTGGCCGTAGTCAAGCTTGAGCTGGCAGTTGGCACCACCGGCGGGCTGGTGATTAGTGGCAGTGTCTGGTCTGAGGTTGAGGCCTCTGAGGGTGAAGACGAGGTTACAACTGGGGGATTTGTAGTCGGACGCTTAGTGGGAACGTGATGAGTTTGCGGCAGTAGGCCCGATAATAACAAATCCAGCACACCGGATTTGGAACCAGCTTGAGGATGCAGCAACGGGTCCAATAGATGGTCCAATTTCAAGTTAGTAGGGAAGGGCTGCTTCGCCAAGCGACCTTCGCGTTCCAAACTCGTCGGATAGAACTATTTGAGGGTAAGTGACAGCCACGGACGGGATATCCATGAACTTACTCCGTGTGTCTCGGGTACGAGCAATCTAGCCTCCTGCGTCTTGGGAGGATATTGGGTCCTAAACTCAATGGTACTGGTCGGCTCGACCGGCCAAGGTAGGGAATGTACTGTCTCTGAGGCCAACAGCCAGGTTAGCATGACTGTAGAGCGCCACATGGTTGCCACGACCATCCTTCTGGCGTGCCCGTGCTGACAGATATCGAAGGACCAGTTGTCTCACGACCTCAAAAAAGCGCAAGACAACGATACAAGAAGTTACGTATACTGATTTAGTGTTGCAAAAAAGAATTGAATAGGACCCTTTGTCCCAGGTGAACCAGGCCGCAGAGCGCAGCTCCGGAGCTTCAAAGGAGCGAATGCACAGAAAGCAGAACGACAGTGTGAATGTCTCGTTGAAGTAAAGGAGAGGTAATGGAGAATATGCCTTGCAATGAGAGGAAAGAGAGTGATGAAAATGAGTGTATTCAACCCGATTCGTGGCACATAGCGTATACGTCCAGTACGCTTCCACTTGGGATAGGCCAGACAACTCGAGGGGAGAGTCGCGAAAGAAACCAAAAGGGCAGACGAGGCCCAGGAGGCCCAGATAAAGGAAAACATTGCTCACAAATATCAAAATTTCAAATTCCAGTCACGACTAGCGAGAATCTCACCAGGCCGAAGTAGGCTGTTCCCCGTGTTACCGGATGACCCAAACTTTGTCTAGAGGACAGACAGCGGAAGAGTGACGCGGATGTAGATCTAAACAGATTGTCAGTCAATTGATTGGACTCAATGTGCGATTAGCAGCATGCGTGGTGGGCTCGAAAGGGCAAAACAATGCAGGAACGAGGGCACTGGAATGCTTTATGGTGATCCGCGTACAAGCAACCCCGACTAACGGTTGCCAGAGGCATCTAGCCGCAAATCGTTCTCCACACACTGGTATGAGAGATGGATGACTTACTTATAGGATGCAAATGATCCAACCGGGTGATGCGAACGATGAGAAGGAGGATAGAATGATTGAAGTTGGAAGATGTACTTGTAACTGTCGAATCCATTATGGGCAGGAAGGGTGTGGAGCAGGGCAGGCAGCTGAATAGTCGAAGCCTGCGGGCAGATCCATACGCCAACGTAAGCCACACATGAGAGGACTCGTACGGACTGGAAATAAAGAGAGTTTGAGATTCATATTGATGTCAATTTTGTCAAAGATTTTTGTCAGGACCAAGGCAGATGCGTAGTTGGATCAAAAGTTTTCCGCACATTCCACCACTCAGAGCAGTTGGTGCTCAGACAACCTCACGGCTACTGGGGTAATCAGTCAGGTGAAAATACCCTCACAAACTGGTCATCGAGTAGATGCCAGGTTCTCGATGATCACAGAGGCCACATGGCTTCGTTTGGGATTTCATCAACAGAGGATCAAAGGAAAGGATGCATCAAAGGGTGAGGTTGCAATTGCTGGGGAAGTGAGCTTGTGCTCTTTGTGCTACAGCAACCCGTCATCGCTCACCCGACCTGATCATCTACCTCCACCCTTCGCTTGTGCATGCAAAACTACCATGCAGATTGTGATTGATCTACTATTTTGCAGGAAGTACAGATGATTGTAGGAAGGTCAATATATCCGTTTCAATACGCTCCAGGAACGCCGTTCATTACCCCATTTTTTGACACGTTGGTATTGTGACACGATCTAGCGTGTTATAGCACCCTACCTACGCAGCAGGAGTATCACAACCATTAAACACACAAATATACATGGCCCAAAAAGAAATCCCTTAGATCATGGGCTTCTCCATCGGCTTGATGATGCCCTGTTTGATCATCACGCGAGGCTTGGTTGCGTTTTGCAATGTCTCCTTGGTAGACCATTCAGGGCCGATGGGGAGACGCAATGATCTTTCGTACTGTGCCTTGGTTTCGAAAGGATGAGGAAGCTGAGTCGCCATATACTTGGTGTTCTAGAATAGATCAGTATTAATCACTCGTGCATCGGTGGAACAGGAATCGCTTACCTTCCTGATGCGTTTCTCGTTGATGATGACCCGAGAAAGCTTTGCATCCTTTCGGTTCTCAGGCTTGACACCTTCAACCTTGGTCAAGACCTTCTTCTGTCGCCTTTGCTCCCTCTTGCTGACTCCATCACCGGTCCAGCTGCCCCATCCAGGAAGGGTCTCATCGATAACCTTGTCACCCTCCTCTTCGATGGTCTGGAGTTTATCTTGCTCGAACTCTTGTACCACCTCATCTCCGGCGAACGCCCTCTTCACAAGATCATGATTCTTGAGTAGGACTGGCACACTGTCCTCGTCATCGCTGCCATCGTCATCCGCGGCTTGGCCTTTCTTAGAGCTGATAGTCGACTGATCCTTCTGTCTCTTAGGCGCCTCGACAGTCTCAGCGCCAAGAGTGACATCGATAGTCTGCTGCGAATCATCCGCTGTCGCGCGACGGTTGTTTCGTTTTGTCTGCACCAACCAAGGATTCTCGTCTTCTGTGGTAGTCTCCTTTTGCTCAGGTGCGCTACCAGATGGCCGCGCAGCCTGTTTCTTCCCCAAGCGCTCAGATGATTTCTTCTTGTCTGACTGATTGACGACGATGTCGACCTCTTGATTAGCCGCGGCGTCGGCCTCATCATCGGAACCTGGTGCCTCCTCAAACTCATTCTTGGGCAACGACTTTTGTTTCTTGTCCTTGCCGGATTTGTCATCCTGAGACTGGCCGAATTTCCGGCGACCAACCTCAGATTCTGCTTCAGACTGCGACTCTTCTTCGCCGCGGAGTTCTCGGTTGAGTCGCCGAATTTCAGCATCATTTTGTGCTTTGCGTGCGGCCTCTGCGTTCTGCATGAATTTCATGGAGAAAAGTTTAGCATGTGGACCAGTCAACTCCGAGGCATCCACATCATCCCCCTCCAGCCCCTCAAGCTTCTTGCGTAGTTTCTGCTTCTCAGCATCAGAGCCTGCATCTTCTGCCCAAGGGTCTTCATCTTCCGACTCTGAACTCGAGGATCCCAGGTAATCCTCATCCGCTCGCGAAACACTCTTCCCTTCAATTCGCCTCCGCAGCTCTTCTTCCTTCAAGGCTTGTTCTGCTGCACCGCGTCGAGCGTCCTCGTCCCAAGCGGTACGGCCAGTCTGCTTGAGGCTCTTTGCCCACTTGCTATCCTTGTGTTTGGCGCCCATTCTAGCCTCAGCTCGGCGGCGCTCATTCATCTCTCGATCTTCCTCCTCCAAGTCCACGCCAGCTTCCAGAAGAGCTTGTTTTTCCTGCTGCTCTAGACGCTCGCGCTCCTTGCGGTGCACGCGGCGATATGACTTGCTTTTGATCTTTTTGATTCGCTTGGCCCGTACTTCTTCCCGGAATAGCAAGTCACGTTGCTTGCGCAACTCTGCCCTACGGGCTCTAATTTCCTCAATGGGCAACTTCCGTGCCTGCAGCTCCTCAAATTCCTGGACCTGTTCCTCAGTCGATTTGCCGCTCGGATCCGCAAGGCCACTTTCAACTAGGATATTTTGAATCGTAGCTTCGAGATCCGTCTGCGGCTTCGTAGGGCCGATTCTGTGTGTTTGCTGGGCGTCGGGATCAGGTAGAGGGAACATCAGGTGTTCCGCTCGTCGATTAGCCTTGACAGTCTCGAGCCAGCGGTTCAATGTCTCTTTGCTCTTTTCGTATGCTGCTGCTCGGTCCAGCCGATCTTGTTGACGTTTCGCCAGGGGCGCGTCCAGTTTACCAGGTATTCCAGATGACTGTTTGTGAGAAGACGGGGCCGCGTCGACATGCTTTAACGAGCTCTTTAGGCGGGAGTCGGTAATGGAGGGCAAGAGGTCGGCGACTGTAAGCTTTCGAGACGAAGTCAGTCCGTATTCCGTAGGCTTGGCGTGTTCTTGTGCGCCTCCTGTTCTCCGAGTTGGCTTATTCGTAGATTCTGGCTCCAAGGCATTGACGAAGCTCTGTAGTCTTGAAAGACCATGCTCATCTGCTTCGTTGGCCTCGTCATCTGACATCGATAGCCCGCTCTCCTCGTCGGATTCATCGTCGCTCTCTTCGCTGCCCGAGTCATATTCCTCCGACTCATCAGGTTCAGCCTGCTTCTTTTTTGATGCTGCGGCCTTTGCCTTCTCCTCCTCAGCTGTATTTAGGTCCCAGGCAGTAGTAAGATCGATGGCATCCTCTCCAAGGTCGTCATCGTCTTCGTCCAGATCTTCGTCTTCCTCCTCTGATTCCTCGACATCCTCGTCTAGGCTGATTTCGCGTACGCGTTTGGATTTCTTCGCCTTCGGCTTCGACCCAGCATTGGTTGTTGAGCTTCCGCGGAACGTAAAGCCCTCAAAGCGTTCTTCGTCGCTTGAGCCCAAGGCCTCGTCACTGTCCAACTCTTCGTCGTCATCGCTGTCGACTTGACCCAATCTCCACCTGTGCCCTTCTCCGTCACTGCCGGCGTTACTGCTCAGTTCTGATTCATCATCGCCCCCGTATCGACGACGCTTGTTATCGGGGCCATCCGAGTCGTCCATATCACGGTTGGTGTTCCGTTTGCGCTTGGAGGGGTCATAAATCTGGCCTAAGCGGGTGCGCCTTACTCCTAATTTATCGGTGACTTGGCTTTCTGCGATCGAGAGCGCATTCAGTGCCTTTTTTCCGGTGTTCTTTTTTGGGGCCGACTTTTTGGAAGTCTGGTCCTTCGGACCCCGCAACTGAGTTTGTCTGCGAGGCATGGTGTAACCTTGACGATGGAAACACAACACACAAGACAGAAATCAATAAGTAGATACGAGAGCCCGAGAATGTGGCTACTCAGTTCCAAAAATGAGTGCGGAGCGCAGGACCGGTCAACTCCATAAAAATAATTTTTAAACTAAAGATCTTGCGGGCAGCGGAAAAAAAGTTCTCGGCGCGGCGGAGCTAAGTAGCGCCGCCTGACTTGCACGACCTTTTCTCAACTCTAACGACTCGACGGCTGCACTTATCGCATAACTGGAGCGCCGCATCTCAACACTATGGCAATGTTCAAGCCTTCGCAACCGATGATGGCGCGATTGCGCCTGACCACCAAGCAGATCAATGGCGGTTACTACAAGGGAAACCGGACCGGATCAATGGGTTACTTCGCGAAGAATGGCTCTTATGTGATCGATTGGAAGAAAGTCCGCACCTATGTCGTCCCTGAAAATCTGGCTGAT